GAGGGGACAACGTTTTGAAGCTAGCTTTAGTTATTAATGTGAACTATTTATGTTTCTTTAAGAAATGAAAGACTGCACGGATGGACTTGAGAAATTATCTTTTTTTGTTGTTGTTTATGATTAGAAGGTTTTGGGCACGAGCGTCCGTACATCATCATGAGGTCCAAACCATATAATATAACTCTCATTTGGAGAGTTGGCGACTTGAGTAATTATATTGAAGTCTTTGATCATATGTAGAGTATTCATAGTAAAGAGTTTTTTTAAACCTTATTTGAATTTTTTTTAGGTAACAATCCTCATTAAAAAAAAAAAAAAAAACAATCCTCAGGTGGATAAACGTAAAAGTAAAATTTTACCCCATAGTTGTTAACAACTTTTTTTTAAAAGTTAAAAACTTTTGCGTGTATTTTACTCTATTACATTACATGCACGTTATTTTCATCTTATAACACGTTAATTTATCATCTCTCATTTTAGTTGTTTTAAACAAATAGCAGGTCATTTTATCTGACGATGCATGCTATCAAAGTTCAAACTTAGAAGAAAAAAAACAAACCATGAATATATTTGCGTACGAGAGGGTGAAAAGTTGTATTTAGTGAAAATTTGGTTTCAGTGAAGACATAAAATAATTATTGGGTTTGACATGTATATATCAGACAGAAAAATCTTATTATATAAAGCTGGATGCGCGCGACGTGGTTGCGACACATAGATTTTTATAAAATATAGGATCATGACATGTGTCACTTTTAAGGTTAGGTCCGTTAAGATCGTGACACGTGTCTTAGGAAAAAAGAAAACTTTTTTTAAAGGGAAAATTTTAATATTTTATAATAAAAACGAAAATTTATAAATAAATTGAAAATAATGCTATAAAAAATTTCTATTAATACATAGAATATGTATATAAACTAAATATCCTAAAACGGTATGGAATAGTTACATAAACCCATGTTTAAAAAAATCTATTAGTACATGGAATATGTATGTAAACTAAATATCCTAAAACTGTATGGAATAGGTTACATGAACCCCCTATAAAAAGAGAGCTTTCTCATTCACAAACTCATCAAAGCAAATTCAGCAAATCTCTTTGATTCTCTTTCTCTAATTTTAAAATCATGTCTTTGAAAGTTCAAAAGAACAGTGGAGATTATTTGACTCTAGGTCAATTGGATCGAAATTGAAATTATCGCCGTACTATAGTACGTGTTATTCGAAAGTGGGAAGCTAGAAATCCTAAAGAAAACAATATTCTTATGGGAGTTGACCTTCTATTACTTGATGAAAAAGTTAGTAACATTTTATATTTATATCTTATTATATAAATATGAAAGTTAGATATCAATGAAGAATATTTAATTTTAGATCAGTTGGATCAAAATTGAATTTATTGTCGCAACATGTGTCTAATAATTGATCAGGTGATGAGTTGTGTTAACACAAGAACATTGGAAAAATGTATTAACAGAAAAAGAAAAGTAACATTGTAAAAAACCTAATTGATATTGGAAAGGGAAATTAATAATGGACAGAGGCTAAAAAAAGATTGAAAAAGAAACAATATAAATAGAAAACAGACAGAATAATTATCAAGCAACTAACTAATATTAAAAAGAAAAATTTATAATAGACCATTTTATAATTTTTAATAATATAATTTTCAAGTTTTAAATCGAATAATCAAAATTTTACGAATTAATTAATTGATCAAATTTAGACACATGTAATTCTTTCTAATATTAGATAAAAAAAATCATTTTTTATATTATGAATTCAGAAACAAAATGTGAGTTATAATTAAAATGTAAAAGGATTACCAATTTTATTTAATTTAGATATTTATTATTGATTTCTAATACTATTTTATTTACCAAAATGATCCGATTTTTAAGATATTTTTGTGATTAATTTTATAAATTTTAAAGTAAACCCGCGTGTATACGCGGGACTTAATCTAGTAGAATAATAAAACAGTATAATCAAATAGAAAGAAAAAAACACGTTATTTGAATAAAAATGCCGCATAATAGTCATAAAACACTTTAAAAAAAAATTAGTAGACTAACTATACATTTTCTGTTTTCTTTTCCCATTATATGACACTTCCATGATATATAATACAATACTTTTTTAGAAACAGAAAAAACTAACTTGATGAATGTTATAAATGATAAAATAATAAAATACTACTATTTATCACTATGGATTTTCTCCATCAGCTTTCATTCTCCGACATCGGCGAAGTTGAACTTAAAGTTGAAAATCACATCACTGAGACCTATTGGATGAAATTGTTGTTGCAGATGATACAATAGTAAAAATCAAGGGATCCATTCGTAGCTTTGACCAACAGAAGAATAATCATTGGACTATAGTTATAAGTATATAGATATACATATGTGTGTGTAATTATTATATGCATAAGTAGCTGTAAGAATCTACATAACTAATAAGGCTTGGACAATCTCCAGCCTTTGACACGTGGCACTCTTTTTTTTTTTTTTTTTTTCGCCTAACACCAAAACGACGTCGTTTTGCGCTTTATTTTTTTTTTTTTTCGTCTTACACCAAAACGATCGTTATCTTTTTTTTTTTCGTCTTACACCAAAACGACGTCGTTTTCGTATTAAAAAAAAAAAATCTAAATCAAAATTATGTGTAATGCTGTTCGTTTTGATGGGCTTGATTATTTATCGGACCTCTTCGTTTCCATGGTAGCTTTAAATGGGCTTACTGGCTAATTAGCTCATTTCATTTCCTTTTAAAAAGGATTGCAATTATTATTATCTATGAGTCTGTAGGATAATAATCAATCTATAATGATTGTTAGTATAAGGAAAATTAGAAGAACTCAACTCCAGTCGATAAATTATTGTATAAAAGAACAAAAAACATATGAAACTATTCACTATGAGTCTATATAAGATTTCACGTAAATAACAACTAAATTTTAAAACTATATGAAAAAAAACAAAATGCAAAACTTACAGAATCTAATATATTCGAGTAAAAAACAAATGATATATTCGAATCTAATGTTCTGAATAATTAAATTAAAAATATTTGGTTTAATAAACCCGCGCATTGCGCGGGTTCTCTCCTAGTAAATATATAAACTTGGAATATATGTCTCGATATGATCATTGTCCAAAAACGAATCATTCAATTCGTCAAAACTATCATAAGGATCCATGTGAGATTTGAAGTTTTAGCTCTACCGCAAAATGTGGGGTCCTATAAATGTAATATTCACGAACGTAACATCTCCATATGTAGAGATATCTCTTATTGATTCCTAGATGTATAATGATTTAGATTTTGATTTGACTTGAAAATATCATGGATTTTTCTGATTTTTGTGGTATACGTATATATAATGTCATTCATTAAATCCCTAGCATCATCAATGAAATTTTGATTCCTAAGACCATGACATGTGCACAAATCCACACACATGTATGCATATATGCATATTTTGAGTTTTTCTTACAAGTAAAAATTTTCCTACAAAAATTGATACATTGCATCTGTCTTAAACTATTCGATGAATGAACTATAAAACTCTTGTGCATGTAGCGACATTAACTAAGAAACCTGAATTTTTTTACTTCACTATTTTTTTCCACCAAAAAAAAAGTTAACGTATACTCTATTAATTTGTTGAAGGTTTTCTAAAATCATGCTCCAAGTTTTCTGCTACAATAATGGATCACGCTATTGTACAAACGGGATTTGATCTCAGATAAATTTGCATAAATAGCATGTTTTTTTTACTTATATTGTATGCGGATATACATGTAGTTAAAGTTAAAAATGAAAAAACTAATGTTCTCGCTAAGTAATAAAATTATATCACCTATTCTTTAATTCATTAAGAGAATAAGGAAACGAGAAGAGGAAAGATGATGAAAGAGAGAAATTGAAACACATGTACAAAAGAATCAAAGAAAGAGGTACAGTTTTCGTTAACTGACCACTGAACTGAAAATAAATGAATCTGTTGGTAAAAGGAACCCAAACTTTATTTCATAGGATTTGAAATTAAATCAATTTGACAGTTTTTTTGTCAGAAAGAAAAAAAAACTTACTATTAAAAAAGTATACATTAACTTACATATGATTTTCAGGTAAATAGACAGTTTCTCATTTTGCGTAAAACCCAATAATGATGAATAAAATATGAATATTTTATCTCTACGTATTCGTCAGAACTATTGGTTGACATAGTCACCTTACAGAAGTTGGTTGTATTTGTCATGTAAAGCTGGAAATTTTTGAGCATTACATGAGGATAATCGAATAGTCAATGGATGTGCCAACCCAAAGTGCAGTTTGATATTGTCATATTGGATAGGATATACAGAATAGATAACGAGTACGATATAGATAAGTATTTGTATCGATATCTACCACTACTACATAGTATGATATATTTATTTTACCCATAATGTAAGGTACGCATTTACTTGACTTACAAGTTACAACTTGAAATATATTAACCACTACATTCGGACATATACAGAGAAAAATAAAGTTGGCAAAAACAAATACAGAGAAAAATAAAAATTAAAATCAAGTTAATATATATACAGAGAAAAATAAAGTTGGAGTAATATATAAATGATATCTAAGGTATCATATGCTTACAGTTTTCATCGTCAGAAAATTATGTTATTTTTTCCTTACCTGAAAAAAAAAAAGAGTAAATAAAACAAGAATAGATGCAAGTAACGTTAGCTAAATGACTACACACGAGGAAAAGCCAAAAATAATTAATTTCGTATCTTCATCCAAATTTAATAAAATAAAATTAAATGAAAAAGAAAAAGATGCTTTGGGGGATGGATCTATAAGCTTTGTTATATAAAGAAGGATAGATAGTGAGGGTTTTCTACCTTCTTCTATCTAAAGAAAGTCTTTACACACCAAACAAAAACAAAGAGAAAAGAACCAAAAAAGAAAAGAATTAAACCTCAGAAAATTTAAAATAAATGGAAGAACATCTAAACCCATTAGCTGTGACTCATCTTCTTCAACACACACTAAGAAGCTTATGCATCCACGAGAATTCTCAATGGGTTTATGCTGTTTTCTGGAGAATCTTGCCCAGAAACTATCCTCCTCCCAAGTAAGCTTATAATCAAAATCAGCCGTATATATGTATAACAAGTATAAAATTCTTGTTTCTTTATTGTTTACTAAAAGATGTCGACTTATTCTTGTTATCATTTTTCTTTTCTGTTATTCTTGTAATCTGTTATTTATTGTTCTTCAAGTTTTGGGGGCTTATGTTATAAGTGTAAACGTGATTTTCTTGAAGAAAAACTTATGATAAATACGTTCTGACCATTTGGTATTGTCTGCAAGTAGATGGGATGGTCAAGGTGCTTATGATAGATCACGAGGGAACAGGAGAAACTGGTATATACATAACAAAAATTTATGTATATATATTTATAGATTTCTTCGTGTATCTAACTAATATTATCTTGTATTTAATTATTGGCAGGATTTTGGTTTGGGAAGATGGGTTTTGCAATTTTGCAGCTTCTGCCGGGGAAATGAGCTCCGGTGAGTGTAGCGGAGGCTCGACGGCTTACGCAAATAGTGATTTTCAGCAATACCAAGGACTTCAGCCTGAGTTGTTCTTCAAGATGTCCCATGAAATCTACAATTACGGAGAAGGGTATGTGAGGATAATATACACATTTTCTTCACCAAAAGCTAAAAGATTTTAACACAAAGATTTGAATAACTATTTTTTTCCAATTTTTCTTTTTTCATATAGTACTTTCTCTCTTTTGGGTTTCACTTTTTTGGTTAACTGATTTTTTTGACCAAAGTTCATACTATTTCGATACCTATTTTCTTACTCAGATTTTTTTTTTGGTGAAAATTTTCTTACTCAGATTTGATATCCATATCTATGTATATGTAAATAACTTGGTTTCCGAAAGTTTTGAGTAAAAGTACCTCTTTCTTATTAAATCAAAGTTTATGATCCATCATAACTGTTTAAAACTTTTGAGGATAGCTAGCGAAGGGTTTCAATCAGAAATCTGATTAGAGGAGTATTAAATAATATTTTTTGGGAAAGGGAAAATTTAACTAATCATTGTCAACTAAATGAGGTATTATTATAATAGTTGTTAATTAATTTAATCATTCCCTCTAATGATTGAAGTATTATTAAATTTTGTGCAGGTTGATAGGAAAAGTAGCTGCAGATCACAGTCACAAGTGGATTTACAAAGAACCTAATGACCAAGAGATTAACTTCTTATCTGCTTGGCATAATTCTGCTGACTCAGTAAGCATATTTATACATGCCTTTACATAAACACAGGCATCCTTCGATGCTTATACACATAATTTAGAAAAAAAAAAAATATGTAAGATATGTGAAATTTACACCAGTCATGTTTGTGCATTTATTTTCACTAACACTGATTAAAATTAATGTAATTCTTGCAGTACCCTAGGACATGGGAAGCTCAGTTTCAGTCTGGCATCAAAGTATGTCAATTTCTCCAGCTTTTTATTTTTCCTTACATACTTCCATATATAACACTATCATACATCTATCTATTTAAGTATATATCACTATATATAATTACATGAAAATGTTTTGCAGACCATTGCCTTGATTTCTGTACGTGAAGGTGTTGTCCAGTTAGGAGCTGTTAACAAGGTTCCTCTCTCTCTCTCTCTATAGTCTATGCATTATATACAAAATTGATATATTTACATATTTAAAATGTTATTAAATATTATAGGTGATAGAGGACTTAAGCTATGTTGTGATGCTACGAAAAAAGCTGAGCTATATAGAGAGTATACCAGGAGTACTTCTTCCCCATCCTTCTTCTTCTGGTTACCCTTTCATGAACGCTTCTCCTTCTGACACGTGGCATTTTCCCGGAGTGGCTCCTCCTCCTCCGCCACAGTCTGAGCACCACCATCAACAGTTTTACCACTCTGACCACAACCACCGCTACTTGATGGGCCACCACCACCACAACCAGCTACAGCCGGCAGGAGCGGTTGCACCGCCTCTGATGAAGATAACACCGTCGATGAGTAGCCTGGAGGCGCTGCTGTCGAAGCTTCCCTCGGTGGTTCCTCCGGCGACGCAGCCAGTGTACTTCCCGTTTCACCATGGTGCTAAAGAAGAAATGAGTCAAGAAGATCAAAACGACACGTTTAGGGTTGAACGTAATGATTTGGTTGGTGAGGGTAGTAATAATAATAATAACAACAATAATTACACTAGTAATAATGATATTTATAGCTATAATAATAATTGCAGCAATAATAATTACGATAGAGAGAACAAGATCGGTGGGTTTCTTAGTGAAGAGTATTGAATCTCTCCTTTTTTCGTACAATAAAGTATAAATTGTACTAAGAATTTTCCTAGTCTGACATTATTAATTCTTAGATTTTATTACTTTTCTCTTAGTTGGCAAAATAAATATATATATATTTTTTAATAATCATAATCGTTGTATTGTACCGGTATGTATGTCTTGTTCCTGTTTCTGACATACATAGTACGTTGTTTTAACGGTACTTGTGTAATTGTTTTCGCAGATTCCATGTTTTGAATAAAATAATACGTAAAAAAAGAAATTAAACTGAAAAGAAAAAGAAATTAACGGGTTATTTTTGATGTCTACAACGTAGTTTTTCCTCTTTATTTCCTCACCCCATAAAATATACGTTTTGGTCATGAAATTAATTTTTGTGGTGCTAATTAAAAAATCGCAGTGGAGGTTAGTTTTGAACTGAGAAATTTTATTTAGATAAAAGTATATACAGTCTGAATGGACTATCGAAATCATGTAGAAAGAATGAAATTCTAAGAGAACCAATAAATTTTAGTCAAAGTTATAGTGCAACCAAAATTAGGTATGAAGACTACTTTGATTTTGTTTGGTTTAGCTATTTATAGCTACAATAAGTGTTGGGAATGAAACCACTATCCGTGTGATGGATGTGTTCAAATCCTAGTTATAAAACTAGAAAACTAAACCAACTCATGGTGGTTTAAGTGGTGAAAGTGAAAGATTTACAAAGTTGTTGGTTAGAAAAATTATGATTCAAATGTCTCTCTAAAATTTCAGTAATTGTTAAACGTTATTAAATGTAAGAATTCGCTAAGAACTCGGGAAAATGCAAGAATTCTCTAAGAACTCTGAAAATTAGTGGGTTCTGTATGACATTCATAAACAAAAAAACACTGGTCGGAGATGAATTTTTGTTTGTTGGGCAAATTTTAATATACATAAGTTGTTCTGAGTCCACGCGATTAGTCGTAAACAATTCACATCCAACGCAAGACGATGGTTAATGGTTTATTATTTGTATAACAAGCATATATCATTATTTATCGACTATCATTGGAGGTTTTAGAGGATCATTTTTTGTTTACTCTAGTTTCAAGTAGTTCTCATTGGTAGGAGGCTAGGAGTCGTAATAGTATATTTTTCATTTCTAACCAATTATTTGTTATGTTGATTGGAATGTTAATCTTGTCATTTGTGAATTGTTGTGAGGTAAAAAGAAGAAAAACAAATTTCCTGAACTACTGTGATTCTCCAAAAAAAAAAACATTTATACGAATGTTTTCTGAGAAGTGTCATATCTGACCTGACCCTTATATAATCTTCACTATAGGACCACTAACATGACAACCACTACTCAACTTTTCACTGTAACATCAAATCACATAATTTCATTATAAACGTATAAACTTACACACATTATTTCATTCAAAACATTACTTATGATAACAGAGCAAGTAACAAACATTATGGGTACACATATCATGATCAAATGATAGATGCTTATAGATTTTATAAAGTAAAGGATTCAAATTCAAACTTTAGATTCCCCAACTCGACAGAATCGTCAAAAAGGAAATGACCACATCCAAAATTTATGGAAATAATGATAAATTAAACTTGAACACACACTCTCATAACTCAACCATCATCAAAAATACATCTCTCTTTTAAACACAGATTTCACAAAAAGACAAATGAACCACACACACAAACTCTCTATGAAGAAGTTTCTTTTTAGTCTATAGGAGCAAGAAAAAATTAGAAATATGTATATGATGAATCTTGGAATACCTTACTTAATACTTCTCATAACTCACGTGGGAAATTGTTAATTTGTCCTTCCTCCAACACATCTTTGCCGTCGATCTTGTAACCTAACCTCATCCGCATCACAATGGGTTTCTGAAAACCAAAGATTGTTCTAAGAGTTTTGTGGTCTCCGTTTCACAACAGATAGAGATTTGTGCCGGTTGTTATATAAATGTGGTGAAGAGAGACATAGAGAGAGATAAGGGAACGGTACCTTTCCGCGTTGGCTATTTGTGACTCTCATAGTTTGTTTGATGTTTCCATTGGCTGGAAGAGAGTTGCTGCTAGCTGGATCCAGGTGAAGTTGTAGATACTGCAACGAGTGTGATGATATTATAAATTAGAATCTTTAAGGCTTATAGCATAAGCAAGAAAGTAAGTTTTGGGAGCTGACCTTTGGAACTGCAGCCTGGAAAAGAAAATCTGTGTACACGTTAGGTGTGAGATTTGTGAAAGTGGCCACAATATCTGTCGACTGAAGATTTTCCGGTTGCTTTGTGAAGTTGAACTCAATCTTCAGTGAGTTGCTCTCAAATGCAACGATAGATGGATATGCTGGAGCCTTGTCCTCTGTTGTCACTGTAGAAAACAGATGCAATCATCACATTAAGAAAATTTTGCGGAAATCACTTCTCTCAATGTTTAACATCGAATATTTACCGCTCTTTGGTGGTGGGGTGGGGCCAAATCCATCCAGTAAATCCATCATTGAAGAAGGCGCAGTGGGAGACATTGATGAAAGTGTATCTATGGAGGCTATTGGAGCGTTGTTATGTTGAACAGATAATAAGTCTCCATTCGTCGAGCCACTTCCATTTTGCACGGGGGCTGGACTTCCGATTGACAACAGATCTAATAGAATATCCGCACCAGCGTTTGATGGCTGCATGGTACCTGAAAATGGTAGATGTAAAGGTCAATGCAAAGAGCCTGGAGATTCAGATAATACAATGCAGCTTCATAACTAAGCATCCCAAACTCTCTACGAAACATAACACCATTTACTTGTTATAAGACAAAAGAAATATGACCAGAAATATGATGACTCCAAGAAAACTCTTACTAGTTAAGTTATATGTTCTTTCAATGGTGGAGTGGAATAACATAAGTTTGGAATTTTACCAGGTTGTGCTGAAGGCTGTGTTAAATCACCACCAAGAAGATCTTGAAGAAAATTGACACTAGAGGAGGTAGGTGCAGGAGTATCATCAGAACTCAGGTCGAGTAAATCTACAAGAGGAGCTGCAGCTTTAACAACACCGTTCGGAATACCGATTGAAGATTTTCCAGAAGTTGACACGGATGCTGGTAAAGAACCAGCTCTCCTTCCACTAAATGTTGCCTCGTCAAGGACTGGCATTCTTTCAACCAGGGAAGATCTGCAGATGTATATAAATCCAGTGAGTCAAGGAATTTATTAGATCAATATCTGTAGAACTCTCTCATCCAAATTGATGAAAATTAGATATATCCAGTCGCATCGTAATAATTACCTTATATTCTGATGCTTTTGAATAACTGAACTAAACTCCAAGGATCTTTGTTGCAGTTCTAAGACAAAGCTGCCTTTGTTCTGTCCTATAATACTTTTCACCCTCCTGTAAGCAAATACAACAAGCCCATCACTGGTGAGAACTAACATTGACAATGTAATTTATAAACAAAATTACAGGGATGTGAAAAGAGTTCATGCATGAGTAAGACATAATAAAGCTAGGTAGGAGTTGGCATACTCTGAACAAGAAGGGAAACGAGATGAGATCTTTAACAGAGCAATTAGGGCCATTGCCTTAGTTGTGACGTCCGATGTATGATGCTTGATAGTAGCTTCGACAATATCCACTGCATCTGATTCCGTTACCTGATTATAAAAGCTTGAGAACACAAATCAATATCTAGACTCCTCATTGAGCAATATTATCTTTAGAGTGTATAGATGTTCATGTAAAAAGTTTCTGGCAGAAAAGTTCAGTACTATATGAATAATCAACTAGTAACGAAAAAAAAAAAATGCATGCAATAAGTGATACCGTTTTCTTAACTTTTTATCAACCAGAAGAACGAGCCAGTACACAAAATCCACAAAGTGAAGAGTACAGTTTCGAGGGTGTGAGAACATGAAATCAGTGAAGCAGAAAAATGTTACCAAGCCAAAAACAATCAAGAAAGATATGTAACTATGACCTCCAGTATCAGACACGACACTAAACCCTTAGTGCAGGAGGATGGTACTCACCGTTATTGGATCTTCTAAGTCAAGCATTCCAGTATTGTTAACCAACAGATCAGCATACTCTCCTATGCACCATATTGCAACACGCACAAGAGTTTCCTGCCAAAAAACCATAACGACCCTCTAACTCGTAAGTTTCAAGATACTCAAATTTGGGAAATGTCTGACCAAATAAAATTGCCATTTACTTGTTCAGAAGATGCTTGTAATGCTCTGTATAAAGCTCTGACAGAGTACCCATGGAGATCAGAGGCATTTGTTATCACAACAATCAGTGCGTGCCATACATCCTCTTTCACATAATTTCCAGCCTGTTGTGAACAAAATAAAGTTTTAGAAATCTCAAATTAAGATCAACCTAATTTCATAACTAAAGAAGCCCGAATGTCCACTGGTGCGAATAAGTGTAAGGAAAAATGTAATCTCACCACCTGGGTTAAGAACATACCTCAGATAGAACCTTTAGCATTTGATCAATGTACCAGATTTTCTCAGGAGCAAACCTAGTCAGAAAAGAAATACCAAAAGATTAGTACACAAAATTACCAATCAGGTCTGATGGATACCATTCATCCAGGCTAGCGTTCTAATAAAATCTATGGATAAATTTTGATTGTGCATAAATCAAATCTTGGTTACAAATAAAATGTTCAGTTACCATTTTCTAGAAGAAGGAAATCCCAGAGTTGAAAAGTTGTATAACTTACTTTTCAACAATGGAGCATATCTTTGCAGTAAGATCTTCCTTAAAATCTTGTTCGCTTACTTCCAAATATTCTATTAGCTCCTTTGCTAGTGGCTTCACATTATTCTCATTCACCAGATTGTAAATAAGTTCAAGTGCCCTTTTCTGAATTGAAGCGTCTGAATCCTAAACCAGAGACATTAAAAGAACAAATTCCATTTAATAAAGAGTAATCTCAGACCACCTAAACAGAATTGGATAATTACATGTAAGAAAAAGAAAACAGATACA